TGAGCCTCTGTTCTCCGCTGTCCCCAGATCAGCCAGGCCATCGAGGAGGTGCACAGCACCAACCGCGAGCTGCTGCGCAAGTACCGGCGGGAGCTGCAGCTCCGCAAGAAGTGTCACAACGAGCTGGTGCGGCTCAAAGGTGAGGTGGGACAGAAGGGACAGAGGAGCGTCCCCATAAGGTGGCTGAGTTGGCTGCAGGATGCTTCAGCCCACCCCATGGTGGCTGACTCCCTGCTTCTCTCCTCCAAGGAAACATCCGTGTTTTCGGGAGAGTGCGCCCCATCACAAAAGAGGACGGGGAGGGCCCTGAGGCAGCCAATGCTGTGACCTTTGATGCTGACGATGACGCTGTCCTGCACCTCCTGCACAAGGGGAAGCAGGTGTCCTTTGAGTTGGACAAGGTCTTCCCCCCACAAGCGTCCCAGGAGGAGGTGGGTGCTACTGTCCACTGCTGGTGTGAGGGGGGAGGCAGCCACCTTCTCCTCACTCTCCCCTGTCTCCCCCAGGTGTTTCAGGAGGTTCAAGCCCTGGTCACCTCCTGCATTGATGGCTACAATGTCTGCATCTTTGCCTATGGGCAGACAGGAGCAGGAAAAACCTACACAATGGAAGTGAGTTTGCTTGGCTTTGTTTCCATTTTCTTCCTCAGCTTCCCACCCTGCAGTGCCCAGTCTCCATCACCAGGCTGGTGACCAGCTCAGACCTGGTGTACACCACTGATGGTCACTTCTGCTCCACAACATCCCCCTGGGCTTTGCTTCTGCTCAGAAAAAATACAGAATGGAATGCCAAAGGGTGTTTTTCCCCTGTTTGTCACCTCAATCCTTCAGGGGACGGCAGCAAACCCAGGGATCAACCAGCGGGCCCTGCAGCTGCTCTTCTCCGAGGTGCGGGGCAAAGCGGCCGACTGGGACTACACCATCACCGTCAGCGCCGCCGAGATCTACAACGAGGCACTCAGGTACAGGATGGGCAAGAAACTTATGGACATCACCCCATGCTGCTCTCCCCCCACATCCCTCCACCCCTTCCTCGGCCTCACAGCTTGTCCCAGGGCACTGCATTTGGCCCTGCAAGGATTCATTTTTAATTTATCTGGTGCACGCTGCCCTTCCCATGAGCTCCATCGCTTGCACAGGCTCCCAGCTGTGCCATCACTCCCACTCTCTGACCCTGATGCAGCGGTGGGGGCATCTCCTTCTCCCCCCTTTCCCTGCCCATGGACACTATATTCAGGAATTTGTAACTGGGAGCTGAAAGCATGAGAAATATTTTCCTTCCTAGTCCAGCCACAGGAGGGGAGGAGCCTGGGTTCTCATCCATGAGAATAACCAGGAGCAGGGATGGGAGCAGGGTCTGATCTGGGTGAGAGGAGGCGCATGGGAGCCAAGAGAGTTGAGGTCTATAAATAGGATGTGCAGCTTTCCTGGGAAGAGATGGCTGCTCTGGCAGTGCTAGCATGCAGCCCTGAGCCAGGAATGGATGCCAGCACTCCCTTGGGATGGGAATGATAACAAGTGCCCCTTTGCCCAGGGACTTGCTGGGGAAGGAGCCGCAGGAGAAGCTGGAGATCAAGCTGTGCCCTGATGGCAGCGGGCAGCTCTACGTGCCGGGGCTCACCGAGTTCAGGGTGCAGAGCGTGGAGGACATCAACAAGGTGTGGGGACATGGGGGCAGCAGGCACAGGGGGGTGGCAGCGGGGGTGCAGTGAACTGGGGAGGGGTCTTTGGTGTGTGACTCCTGGATTTGGGAGCGTTTCTGAAGCCATGGGGAGCAACAGAGACCAAAATAGGTCCCTGGGTGTGATGTGAGGGTCACTGTCCCATGGGATGAGCCACAGGGGGTTAAAAATAAAAGCGTGGGGCCCAGAGAGTTCCTGAGGGATTAGTGGGGTGCGGCTGTCACCGCAGTGCCCTGCCTGTCACCCCTGCCTGTGGTGTATCACCCAGGCTGAGACCTGACAGCGGTCATTACCCTGCTGGGCCAGCACCCCGTGGGGGGCTGATGCTCAGGTTACATCCCTGGCCATCCCTGGATCACAGGGGATTTGTGGTGGGACTGAGGCAGGTTGGCCTCACCCCCTCAACTCCCCGGGCTCCCTCAGGTCTTCGAGTTTGGCCACATTAAGCGGGTGACAGAGTGCACCAACCTGAACGAGCACAGCTCTCGCTCCCACGCCCTCCTCATCGTCACCGTCCGCGGCCTGGACCGCAGCACGGGGCTCCGCACCACAGGTGGGTGTCACAGCAAACCCTCACAGAGGCACCTGGGCTGTGCCATCCTGGGATGTGTAGGGCTGGGCGCTGATGCTGGGGTTTGTCTGTGTGCCCTCAGGGAAGCTGAACCTGGTGGACCTGGCGGGCTCAGAGCGGGTCGGGCGGTCGGGCGCGGAGGGCAGCCGGCTCCGCGAGGCGCAGCACATCAACAAGTCCCTGTCGGCCCTGGGCGATGTCATCTACGCCCTGCGCTCCCGCCAGGGCCACGTGCCCTTCCGCAACTCCAAACTCACCTACCTGCTGCAGGACTCGCTCAGCGGTGACAGCAAGACCCTCATGATGGTGCAGGTAGGGGCTGGGCACCGGTGCCTGTATCCCCACAGCCAGTCACTGATTTCTGAGCCCCTTCTCACCCCGGTGCTGAGGCAGGTGGGAGGAAGGCTGGAATCAGGGAATGGGGCTCACCCGTGGGTGAGCAGTCTGCAATCATGGTGCCAGTGGCAGCTCTCTCCCTGTATCTGCTCATTCCTTAGACAAGGCCAAGGAGTGGGGAATTAACTTGGAGGTCCACAATCCTGCCCTCCCTGCCTGCACGTGGATGCTATCCCTATGGGCAGTATTATACAATCTCTTCATATATTGTCATCTCCCCATCCCTGCTCTTTCTGAGAGGATTTTAAGCTCTGGTAGTTTCTCTACCCCTGCCCTGTGAGCCCCCACTCCCAGCTGCTGGCACCCACACTGAGCCCCCCAAGGGGAGCTGCCTGAGCCTCTGCACCTGCCACAGCTATTCCCGGCTGCTCCTCGCACTGGGGCAGTTGGTGACAGGGAATCCAGCTGGCTCAGACACCAGGGATGGATGGGGCTAGCCTGGGAGGGGCAGGTTAATAATAGCATCTACCGGCCAGCAGCAGCAGGTTTTCTAGGGGGGAGCCCCCAGGGTACACAGGCAGCTGCCAGGGTGACTTTGTGCCTCTCCTCCTGAGCACAGGTCTCCCCTGCTGAGAAGAACACGAGCGAGACGCTGTGCTCCCTGAAGTTTGCCGAGAGGGTTCGCTCTGTGGAGCTGGGTCCTGTCTCCCGCAAGGCTGAGCTGGGCTCCTGGCCCAGCCAGGAGCACCTGGAGGTACTCAAAACACTGCTGGTGTCCTTCACCCTCACCCCAGGGATCCCCCCTGTTTTGCCCCCACATGTGGTCCCCAGAGCTGTTGGATGTCCCCCTAGAGCCACCCCCACTGGGGACAATCACCTGGTGGGATGCAGGTTGTCCCCAAACTGCAGTGTCCAGCCAATGCTGCCACCTTGGTTGTTCCAAGCCCTGTTTTGCAGCAGCCCCGTGGTACCACCTGAGAACATTTGGGCACCACTACCCAGGCATGCACTATCTGCCTGTGAGCCCATCCCCACTCCTGCCCTCTTGGCCTGGCTGACCCTGGGGCTGTGTCCCCTCTCCTCCCAGGGTGACTCGCCGGGTTCCTCAGCACCAGCAGGCCGGGGCCACGCATCCCCCAGCCCAGGGCATCTCTCCAGTCGCTCTGCCTCCATCCGCAGGAAGCTCCACACCTCAGGTGGGTGGTGGGACACCTTGAGAGCCCAGACAAGGTCCCTCTGTCCCTTGAGGCTCCAGCCAACAGCCCATGGCAAAGCCTGCAGTGGGGAGTGAGCAGCTCTGTAGTCAGCTCATTAGTTAATAGCTAATTAGCCATGGTTAGCGCTTCCCCAAGAGTGCCCTGGTTCAAAGGCACTGTGATGGCTATGGTGGGGTAAGGGGAGGGCAATGCCAGCAGGCTGAACCTCTTTCCCTTCGATTTCAGCCTGACTTAGGGGCAGCCGTGGCTGCCAGGTGAGTGCCTGCGGCCGGTGCTGGTGGAGGGCTCTGCTTTCACCCCGCTCCCCACGCAGGGCAGGGCTGCTGGACTGTGCAGGGATGTTCTGGGAATGCTTGTGGCACCACCTCCTGCTACACTGCCACCAGACAGGGCTGGGGCACTGGTGGCTGTGTCCCTGCCTGCTGTAAGCCATGCATCTCTCCCCTCAGGGAAGCTGAGGCCCATTCCCCTGTGATGAGTGCCAGCCATGGCATCCAACCTGCTGCAGGACCCAGCCCCTCACAGTGACACAGAGACGGCTGCTGGAAGACATGAAGGCTTTGGTGCTGTTCCCTTGGCCACCAGGACCCATGACCAGAGGGTGATGGCACCTCTCACCATGAGCAGCACGGGGTCAGGGTCTCCCAGCAGCCATGCCCCCCTCTCAGGGTAGGGGAAAGTGGTGCTGGGCAGAGATCTGCCCCCTCAATGCTCAGCTCTGTGAGTTTATTTTTGCTGGACAGATGTTTTTAGCTGGAGCAGGGACAGCTGGGTGCTCCCTCCATCTCTCCAGCTTTGCTTTTACAATGAGATCTAGCTGGAAGGGGTGCACAGAGCCAGACCAGTTCCTGGCCCTGCCTCTCCCACTGCCACAGGGCCATCCTGGCCACAGCTCCTGCAAGACTGCATCTGGGCAGCTGCCCAACGTCTTTCAGAGCAGCACTTCCTCCAAGTTAAACTACAAAAGATCCCAGCAGCTCTCTTCCCTGTGAGTTTCTCAAGCCCTGTTGTTGCATGAAGGCCCCCGGTGCTGTGCATGAGCCGAGCTGCTGTTCCTCGTGGTGCCAGTGCTGCCAGGGCCCACGATGGCTGCCTGTGGTACCTGGCACCAGGGGCAATGGAGCAGTCTCAAATGAAGCTATTGTAAAGTTATTTACCAGTTGTCTTGTCAAGAGAGATCACAGTGTGGTCGAGATGAAAGTGTTTGAAATATTTATACCTGTTTACATGGTCTTGGAATGGAAAAGTAGTGGAAAACAAACAAAAAGACCCCAAACCTCCAGTCCAAAAGCCTCTGGGCTTATGTATGGGGATGGTGGTTGGCAGGGGCATGGGAGGGGATGACACTGCCCTTGGACCTCTCAAGAGCCACCTGTGGGTACATCTCCTCCTGCTGCAAGCCCCTGCTGGATGCACTGATGGCTCTTTCCACCACTCTCTCCTCTCGCGCTTCCACGGCGTATTCTATTTAAAAACAAAAAAGGGAAAAATAAATTTAGCCTTTTGTAAGATTAGATGTTTCTATGTATTTTAATAATTAAAAAATACCCTGTTTTGTAACAAAACTTATTTTAAATAAACTCTTAAACACAGCACAGGACTGGCTTTTTCTTGAACTCTGCTTGAGGAGGGATGGGTGCTTCTTCCCTTCTGCCAGCATCTCCCAAGCCCCTCATATCCTTCTCCTTGCAGCTGCCCCCAGGGCCAGCCTGGCAGCACAGTCCCCACCTCATTTTGCAGCTATCAGGCTCCTGCAATTAGTGGGAGAGTAGTGGTTAAATCCAAAGTGAGTCCCAATGTGCCCATGTCCTGCTCCACCTTGTGCTGCCCCACATCCCAGCAATAGGCTGGTGGCTGGCAGAGCCTTTTCACACCCCATGGGGGTCCAGGCATGGGATTATCACCAGATGAAGCAGGAAGCAGCTGCAGAGCAGGAGACACACACCCTGTGAGTGTCCTGGTGCTGGAGCAGGCAGCACTCACCATCAGCCCTGCAGTGGGGCTCAGTGCCAGGGCCTCCTGCTGTACTTTTGGAGCCACCTCCTCCAGAGGCATGGAGCAGAGCAGGCACTCCCCTTTTTTCCAAAAATTGATTGTTTGGATGAAGCATCAGCAGTGTGGGGACTGGCTTTAGCTTTCCTGATGGCCCCACTCCACCTCCCCAGAACAGTTGTTCCAAAGGCACTCCCTGGCTCAGAGCTCATTGCCACTCTGTCACAGACATCTTTTATGAAAAATCCTTTCCTTAGGATTTTTCTTCCTGAGAAGCTGAAAGGCCTCAGGAACAGAATGTAAACATTGATTATCTGCTGCTGTAGAATGCAGTAGGTAGATCTTTGATTGGCCCATGTTGATTGTTTCTAATTAATGGCCAATCACAGCCCAGCTGGCTCAGACAGAGAGTCCGAGCCACGGGCCTTTGTTATCATTCTTTGCTATTCTATTCTTAGCTAGCCTTCTGATTAAATCCTTTCTTCTATTCTTTTAGTAGTTTTAATGTAATATATATCATAAAATAATAAATCAAGCCTTCTGAAACAGAGTCAAATCCTCGTTTCTTCCCACAGCCTGAGACTCCTGTGAACATGGTCACACCACTCAGCCCAGATCCAGTGGAGGAGATCTGTGTGCAGCCAGGGAGAAGGATGAGCCCTAAATGATGACACTGCTCCTTGGGCTGGGAACAACCCAGCAGAGTGAAACTGCCCCCGGGATTTCCACAAGCCACTGGCAAGTGCTGGCTCTCCTGTTGTTCACCACAGCCTCCCAGCAGGAAGGGTGAGAATGGTCAGCTTCCTCTGGGACAGGCAGGGAACACAGCCCTGCTTTTCCTGGGCACTCCCAGCCAGGAGCCATGCCAAGGTGAAGAGCACTTCAAGAGATTCAGGCATTTAACACAACTTTAAAAAAAAATTACAAATATTTTAATAAAATTCATTATAAGTTACAGATTCCTGGAGAACAGGCTCCAGTGTATAAAATGGGAGACAGGCTGGGAAGAGCAGGGAAAGCACCAAGAGGAACCTCTTTCCCCAGAGGAAAGAAGAAAGAGGGACAGAAAGGTTCTGACAGACATTTATTGGGGGAAAAAAATCAAAAACAAACCTCTAAGAATGGTCCAGTGGATGTAGAAAGACATAACTCAGTCCATGTCCCTCTGTTCCTCCACCCTCCCAAATCCTCACCCCCAAAGGCAAGCACATACAACGAGTCCTGTTTAAGTCACATGTTTTAACAGGTCCAAGGACAGTCTGAAGACACTGCTCCTCTGCAGCCCTGGGTGCCAGCAGGGATGGCTGAGAAGTCTCTTGGTTCAGGTCCTTGAGATGCACCAGCACAGTGGCACAGTGTCCTTGCCATGTCAGATGAAGCCAAAGGGGCTGGTCCCCCCTGGCAGTTGAAGTCCCTTCTGTATGGGAAAGGGCATCACCCCACAGCAGGCGTTTGTGGGGCGCTGCCTGCAGTCCTCAGCAGCTGCACAGCGAGAGCAGGGCCCTGACCCACAGGGCCAGGCAGCAAGAACCGACAGCACAAGCGGGAAGGAGGGGTGACAGCAGGCTCAGAGCCCTCCTGCAGGGACAGGCCAGCACACAGAGCAGCCCAGAGCTGGATGCTGAGATGAAGAGCTGAAATGAAGCAGCTTCCCTGCAGGGCTCTGTGGGGCCCTGCACCCGCCAGGGCCCCTCCCACAGCACACACATCTCTCCACTGGGGTCCTCCATCCAGCCCCTAAGGCACCAGGGCTGGCTGGGCGACCAGGCAGGCAGATTGCACTTCCCTACCGTGCTGGAGAGGGGCGGGGGGAAAGGACGGACACACGGAGAGATCTGAAATCCAGCCAGACCACGAGCAGGGGAAGCTTGGCCACCTGTATTTGTACATGAGGAGGTGGTGGCTGCTAGTCCAGGACAGCCATGAGGAGCAGCAGTTCCCGAAAGGCACTACCATGGCGGCCGCTGAGCCCAGACTTGTTCTTGACAACGTTGCTGATGTTTTTCAGCTGCTTGTAGCACAACTTGCATTTGTGAAGCCTGGAAAAAAAAATGACAGCAGACACAGCATGAATCCCTAGTTGCCTGAGGTGTGGCAGTTCCTGCAGTGCCAGAGAGGCAACTCAAGCAGGAGAGAAAAGCCCTGAAAATGGCCTGGAAAGGCTGAAATATGAGCACAGCTCTGTAAAAACACCAGGCATTCAGCACACGTCCTGATGAGACAGGAGAACAGCATCCACATAAGGGCTCTTTCAGCCCTCTTCCCCCTTTGGCAGTACAGTCCAGGGAAAAAGAAAGTGCTGTTTTCCAAAAGCCAATTCCCAGAGAGGAGCTATCCTGTGAATGAACTCAAAATCCAGGGCCTGGCTACCAAATCATGTTTCTTGTGAGGCAGAGGGGAAAGCCACAGGGTGGTTTTACTCTCAATACTTTTTTTAGGTATGACTAAATGCACAGAGGCAAAGGGAAAGGCAGTCCTTTTCCTCTGAGCACAAGGGATTGGTGCTTGCAGACAAAGAGAAGGCATGTCCAGTCTGGAATCAGAGCCCTGATGGCAAGGGCAAAGCTCACCCAAGAGAAAGGCTGGTGCCAGGAGGGAGCAAAAGCAGCATGTGCCTCACCTTTCCTCTCTGCTGATGTCCACTCCAACAGAAGGTGGTGCAGCGAGGATGTCTGTGATGAGTGGCAGGAATCTCTGGAGAATGAGTTTCAGGGAGGTGCAGCCAGTCTGCACGTAACTGAAAAACAGAGAATTGGGTCCCACTTGAATGCCATTCCTGTCCCCTTGAATGCCATTCCTGTCCCCCAGCACACAGCCCCCAACCAGCTTCATTCCACCACCTGTAACCAGGGAAGGAGAGCAACAGCCAAGTACCAACAAAACATCTGAGTTCCAAAGCTTTCACAAAGCAAGTCTGTTCCAAAGGTCCTGGCACATAACCTACCCAAGGGCGACCTCTCTGCTCAAGGGCAGAGATGTCCTGCCAAGGAACCTGGCAGGAACCTCTCTCCCAGAAGAAAGGAAGGGCAGAAAGTGCATCCTAAGACAGGCTGTAATTTTTCTCCCTACAGATGAGTCCCCAGGGCTGTTGCAGGACTTCATTCCTTGTCCCAGGCTGACAGCTTCACTCTCAGCAGTGTGCAAAGCCCATTTGTTTTACATGACCCCTCCTGGCTGCCAGAGCTGTCTTAAAACAAAATCTAGGACAAATCCCACTATCCTGCTCTTCCTACCCATGCATACTTTCTGTATTTTTTCCCACACACACCTGGCAACTCCACCATTCTTTTACAGGTGTCATATCAGCATGAGACTGTATCTGCAGTGATTTCTCAGGATTTTCCTTCAGGTACAAAATACACAGCCCAGCTCCCCTATCACTACCTACACCCTGTCCCTCAAGCACATCATGTTCTTGAGGCCTCACCTTTCATATTTACTTTGGAGTAGTTTTTCTATCTGTGGCAGGACTATAGTACACAAATCCAGCTTCCAGAGAGACCTGAAAAGAAAAGGACATACCCTGAGACTGGAGACCAAGGCTTTACAAAGCCAAGCTGACACAAAAAAGAATTCTTGGCAAATGCCCAGCCAGACACACTCAGGTTCAGAGAGCAAGTTCACTGACTCCCCCTCGTGAGAGAAAGTGGCAGGTTCGGATATATTTCTTTGACTCTAAGCAGAATCATTTTATGAAGCCCAAAGACTGACTTTGATTTTCCTTGGCCCCAAATAACTCCAGCAGTTTCTGCCACTGCAGGCTTGAAGAAGTGACTACAAACACATAATTTTCATGCTGCCACTGGACATGGAGCAGAGTTCCCAACTCCCAGCCAGGCAGCTCTTGCACATCCCAGGGGCTGACCCCACCCAGGACTCACGCTTTTTGGTTGACAATATTCAAGAGATCCACGACAACAGACAGATCATTGATTGCCACTGCAGAGTCCAGAGAGTTCTGAGAGAAAAGGGGAAGAAAAAGCCATCTATTGCAGAGGTCAAACTGGTTAGGCTAATGCAAATTAGTATCTAGTGCTGCTTTTCCAAAACAAGGTAGAGGAAACATGAAATTGGCCAGGGAAGAGAACTCTCTCATGGGAAAGTCTTTGCCATGTGAGTTTCTTTGTGACCCTTCAGCTGCAGCACTCTGTGGTGCATCCCTGGGGACAAAAGCTGTGAGACCCTGTGTTTTGTATGAGGCAGAGCCAGCCCCAGAGAAGCAGAGAGAGCTGCTCAGGAGCCTCAGGCACGTCCCCACGCTTGCCTTGATGTCACTGGTGCTCCAGACGGCGCGCACGGCGTCCAGGTTCTTGTGGCGGCTGGTGAGCACCACACACATGGTCTCGTGGCCTTTCCTGATCTGGGACATGGCCTCCTCATCCACCAGCTCTGTCTGGCTTTGGTTCTTCACAGCCTGCAAGTACAGACACCACAAACAGAGCAGGGTGGGAGCATTCTCTGGCCTAGGTGAGAGCCAGTTTTGGTGCAGAGATTGTCAGTGAATACTGACTTCCTTGCAGATGGTTGTAAAAGCCTTTTGAAATGGAAATGCTCAATTTGTTCTGATTTCAGTTCCTTCTTTCCTACTTCTACTACACCAATCGCAAACATGTTTAAGGCTTTGGAAAAACTCTCAAAAAAGGTGAATTTAAAGTAAGTTTTCAAAACCAGTATGTTTTAATGAAGAAATGTTTTCACACAAATCCAATTTTTTTATGTGAAACACTTGTCTGGGAGCTGCAAGTTTTATTACAATTCATTAGATTCTCAATTTGCTTCCTGCCCAGGCCATGATAGAACCTCTAATTCCTTTACTCACATTTAGAGTCTGATATCATCAGGATGCTCTGGTCTTTCCCCCTTTTTAGGACAAGAGAATACCCTCCCCAAGAGAGACCAAGAAGCCTCCAAGATGCAAGAGGCAGAGATTCCTGTGAAATTATTATGCACATGTAATGGCAGACATCAATTTTTTAAATGAACCACTGTCTCACCCCTTGTTCTCTGCTTTGCTAAGAGCAGGGCTCAACTCTGCTGTGTTCATACCTATCACAATGGGGCACCCCATTTCTGATGCCACCCAACACAGACATTGGCAGGAAAACATTGTCCAGAGACACTTACTGGGAGAAAGTCAGAGGCCTTCAGGCCAATGGGCTCATTCCTGGCTGCAGGAATCACTGATGGCTCTGTTCTGCTCAAAGAAGTTGAGGAGGGATTCAGTGGCCTCTGGACTGGATCAGGCTGCAGGAGAAATTGGGATAAAAGCTCTAGCAGGAACAGTTTGGCCTTAGTTTGATGACCTTTATTTCTGACCTGCTTTCTTCTCACAGCACAGGGCCCTAACACAGAAGCAGTCTGCAGATTGCTAGCATAATTTAAGAGGCAATAAAGTGACTCTCAGGTACACACCACGATGTAATTAAGGTTTGTAAAGAACACGAAGATGCCCCAGCAGAAGTGCCAAGTGCTGTTATTGTTATCTGAAATTAGGGCAATGGGCTGTGGCCAGCCTGAAGGCTAAGGGAGAATTCTAAAGAAGCCAGTAAAATGAATACTGGCCCATCAGCTGCTTGCACTTTTGGCAACAAAACAGTCTCTGTTCAAGCACTGGCAGAAACCTGGCACTTGATTCTCTGAGTGTCCCAATTCTGAGATGCAAGGAGAAGAACCACTGCAAGCACAAGCAGCAAACAAACAACAGAGACTGTCAGAGGCTTGGCCTTAGCTTCACTGCTAAGGCAAGACACTTGGCAGCACAAAGCCTGGAGCTGCACTTTTACTGCCCTGCAGTGAAGGGATCAGCCTGAGCAGAAATCACAAACTCTCCAGCTCTGCACATCCCTCACAGAGCACACAGAACGTACGAGCTCCTGCTTTGGCAGCGAGGTCTGGACATCCACAGCTTGGCTGGGCTTCACTGCTTCCTTTGCAATTCCAGGCTCTACCAAGAGGGAGAGAAGTGGGAAAGCAGAAATTGATTGTTACTTTCAAGAGTTGAGAGCAAAGGTTCTGCTTGCTATACTGCAAGGAGTAATTTCTGCCTTCAGGCAGCTCTCCCTCTTTTGAGGGCCATTATCCGACCCCACCAAGGGGTCATTTCCACACTCACCATCCTCAGGAGGGGCAGGAAAGGGCTCAGTTCGAGGAGGAGTTCGACCTACAGAAAAAGATTTAAATAATAAACAAATGAAGGAGCATCCAAGGCTACAGATAAGTGGTAAGTCAACCTTGGAGCAGAGAAATCTCCAATAATTCCACACATGAGGGTAATCGGTGACACAACAAGCAGAGTTATCTCTTTTG